TCAGACTTTACACCTTGATAGCTAGAATCCCACTGTGTATGTACACATGAAAAAATGTGCATACTTCAACTGGAACAAAAGTTCTACCACTGAGCTCATTGTTTTCAGACAGTGTCTTACTAAGTCGACTGGGGTGGCCTCAAACATGCCATCCTGCTGCCTCAGGCTTCTGAGTTTCTGGGATTATAGGCATGCACCATTACACCAGGCTGTGTGACTTTTATTGGTTGTTTTGCTGAACTACTTGCTCTTTTAAGAAAGAGTAAGATTCTTCTCAGAGGAAACCCAAGGTGAAAAGGGGTTTCTAAGCACCACATTGAAGACATGACTTTATATGCTAAATATTTCTTCGCCTCTCTCTCTCCTCCACCTTTGCTTCCCTAACTGGTAGTCATAATTCAAAACTCATCTCTGCTAGAAAATGTCATTACTTTCCCCTGCCACCAGCTTGAGTATTCCTCTTCTGTGCTAGTTTAATTCTTTTTAAGTTTTTAGGTTTTTAAAAAAAGATAAGACTTTATCAACGATATTATCAAGCTCTTACTCTTCACAGAGCTCTTTCATTCTAGTATAGACCATGAGAGAACTAGAGCTCCATATTATTTTAATAGAGGCAGTTTCATTGATTCTCACAACAGTTCTTTGAGAAAAGTTAATGTAATATTTTATTCACATTTTATAGACTAAAAACTGAAATAATTCTATGGAGTTTAAAAACCTTGACAAGGGCTGGGGTTGTGGCTCAGCAGTGGAGTGCTTGTTTTGCATGTATGAGGCACTAGGTTTAATCCTCAGCACCACATAAAAATAAATCAATAAAATAATGTTAAAAAAAAAAAAGAAACTTTGACAAAAAACACAGCGAGCAAGTGATAGAAGCTAGATTTGAACCCAGGGAGTCTGATTCTGGAATCCAAGCTCTTAATCTCTTGGCCAGATTTTAATCTTTTTGTTTTGTCTCTGCCCCAGAGATTTATACAGCCAACAGTTGCCCTCCCCCTCCCTCCCTCCCTCTCTCTCTCTCTCTCTCTCTCTCCCCCCCCTCCCCCTCCACCTTGAGGTTTATCTTGCTGTGGACCCTGAGATCAATTCTACCTCCTCACCTATGCCTGTTCCCTTGGTTGCCATTTATTTCTGTTCACCTTATCCCAATCTTCTTGATTTCATAGTTTAAAGTTTTTAAAAAACTTATCTTGGGTCAGGCATGGTGGCACATGCCTATAATCCCTGAGATTTGGAAGGCTGAGGCAGAAGGTTGGCAAGTTCAAGACCAACCTTAGTAACTTAGCTAGGCCTTAAGGACTTAGCAAGACTTTGCCTTGAAATAAAAATAAAAAGGGAGGCTGAGGTTGTAGCTTAGTGGTGGAGCACCTACCTAGCATGTGTGAGACACTGGGTTCAATTCTCAGCACCACATATAAATAAATTAAACTTCTGTCAACAACTAAAAAAAAATTTAAAAAAATTAAAAAGGCCGAGGATGTATGTAGCTCAGGGGTAACGTGCCCCTGGATTCAATCCCCAGTACCAAATAAATGAACAAATAAATACTGTCTTGATTTTCTCTCTGCTTACTGTTGGGGAAGGAGCACAAAAGACAACAATTTCCAGTGGGTTTTTTTTAATTTTATGTATATTTTAGTTGTTGATGGACCTTTATTTTATTCATTTATTTATATGCAGTGCTGGTACTCATACCCAGTGCCTCATACATGCTAGGCAAGCACTCTCCCACTGAGCCAGAACCCTAGCTCATTCAGTGGTTTTTACTTTAATGTTTAATTTTTTCTCTTTTATTTTATCAGTTTTCAGAATAATGAATTTGTGTCCTAGCAACCTCCAGTGATAACTGGAGGTTTTTCTTTTTAAATAATATGAATTCTTTTATTTTGTATTGGAAATATTTTAATCCATTGTCATCCGTATTCTTTTTGATGTATGGATTGCTCCATCTTAGACTAGTGAGATAATTTTTACATTGCTCACTGTATCATTTTGACATGACCCTATTACTCGTTTGGATAGTACAACCAACCTCATTTTATCTGTATTCTGCCTCATGCTTGGAATCAACCATTTCTCCAAGAAGTCCCAGCTTCCATTCATAGGAATTGGTATTTAAAGTTTGCAGTCTGAGACCTTCTAATACTTCTGATAAGACAGACATTCAATTTCTCTGATGAATTAGAATATGCTCTCTACCCACACTATTTTTACCTATTGATATTTTTGTAGATAGCAAGCAGACTACCTTATTCAAGGTTTCAAATATCTGTCATGTTTAAACCCTCAGCTCTTTATCAACTGCAGTTACTGTGAGCTGTGGTCTTAAGTTTGAAGTGCTAATTTGGCCCATTTTTTTCTCTACTATATTTTAGTAGATTAATACAAATGAAGAAAACTAAATTAAGTCAGGTACAGTGATACACACCTCTAAACCCAGCTACACAGGAGACTGAGAGGCAGGATGATTGCAAATTTGAGGTCAACCTCCACAACTAAGCAAGACCCTATCTCAAAAAAATAAAAAGGACTAGGGATGTAGCTTAATGGTAGAGCATCCCCGGGTTAATTCCCAGAACCAGAAAATAAAATAATAATATAATAAATTATCTCATAAGTATGCTTGTGATTACATTTGGAGACACCCATATAGTTCAGAATAATCGTCCCAATTCAAGATCCTTAATTTGATCATCTCTCCAAAGACCCTTTTCCCTTGTATGTAGCATTTCACAGTTCTAGGGATTAGGGCCTGGTACCTATGGGTGGCCCTAATTCAGCTTACTACAGTGGTAATCATAGAGACTTATCACAAAGTTGGCATATCATAAGAGCTCCATAAATGCAAGCTTCCTTCTTTCTCTATATCCTTCTTATGTATGTCGCCATGACCCTCCTTTCTTTAAAATTACTTTCAAATGCTTTTCTTGAGAGGAGTAGCATTATGTCTATACCTGTTAGGATAATAAAAATAATGACAATAATAACACTTACTAAATGATTATTGTAGCTAAGCACTGAGATGAGTTCTTTTTTTTTAATTTTTTTAATATTTATTTTTCAGTTTTTCAGCAGACACAACATCTTTGTTTGTATGTGGTGCTGAGGATCGAACCCGGGCCGCACGCATGCCAGGCCAGTGCGCTACCGCTTGAGCCACATCCCCAGCCCCTGAGATGAGTTCTTTATCCATGGGATATAGATACCATTATAGTCCTTATTTTACAGACAGAGGAAATAATACCTAGGCAAAGTAACTTAATTTTGCCCAGTTGGTGGTTCATATTAGATTCAAATTAGGCTCTAAATCAGAGCTAGGGTTCATTTAGGTTTAATTGTAAGGACTCTTTTTCAAAGTGTAACGATGTCCTCAACTATTGTATCTTGCCTCTTACTTAGGAATGTGGTTCAAGTGTCTGGTTTTCTGACCTGGCCTCTGAGGAAGATCTTTTTTGAACTTTTCTTGAGCCCACTGACAGGGTCTCACACCTTAGTTCACCAGGATGCCCGTTCTTTACAGTTGCTTGGTCTGAAGAAAAAGGAAGAGGAATAATCTTCCTCTTCCTAACTTCCTAACTTCCCCTCGTCCTAACTTGTTTGCTGCAAATCAATGAATTCCTTGGCTGCAGGGATCGTGCTGATTTATTTATATCCTAGGATAGGGCCTGGACACAGAATAGATGTTCCTCTGGAATGTAAATCCTACCAGGGACTGACACTCACTCGAATATCTCTCTCTCTCTCTCTCTCTCTCTCTCTCTCTCTCTCTCTCTCTCT